TTGTGTCGTTTGTAAGGTACAGTAGTGGGTGTCCAAAGTTTTCATACGGTGGACAAATATTTTTTCAGTGTCTCATTTCGACAGCAGATATTTGCATTCGTGTGGAAAAATTTGAACTCGAGATTGGACGTTTGACTACACTTGATAAAAACTCGACAGAGTGGTACTCCAGGTTATATAGAAATTTGTATGAGCTGCGTTGTAGTAGACTTTGAAATTTTTTTACACTTGAAGTTGGCAAGGAACTCCTGGTACTTCTGTAGCTGTTTTGATTCGCCGAAAGAGGACAAAAAATATTCAAAATAATCGCTTGCGCAGCGTCTGCCGGGAAGCTGAGCGCAGGACGCCGGCCGACCAGCATGTGCAAACGCTTCAGATTTCACCACGCGAGCTCGCCACGATCGCTGCCAAACAAGCATTTCACCAAGTTGAGTTGAACCCCGATGGCCGCATCGGACTCGACGAATTCAAGCGGTACGTTGCCATGCACACGCCGCTTGCGAGTATTCATGGAGTGGTTGGGTCATTTCAAGATGGTACTCGAGTCCCGGCAGCCACGGCGCGGCAACCGCTCTCCCATCGAACCACCTATTTACCCTTCAAGTAGCCCGCCGTCTCACGCAGCTCGAACGCCATGCCCCCGACACCGTCTTCGAATTACTCGCCGATTGTGCCGACAACAATGGCAACTTGACCAAAGATGCGTTCTCCGAGTGCTTCCAAGTGCACTTTCTCACGACGACGCCCGACGCCCGATCGATTGCGGCGATCCACCGTCTGTTTGATATTTTCGATGCCGATGGGAACGGCACAGTCGATTTTGCCGAGCTCGCAGCCGGCCTCAGCTTGCTCTGGTACGTTTATGCGGAGTTCTTTGAGGGAGTTGGCGAGAGCCCTATTTCATCTGGCCGTCGAGAGAATCGTCTTGACTCTTCGTTCGTGCATCGTGTTTTTCATGTTGACTTCAAAACAAACGTCGATCGCCACGTGCTCACGTCGGTCCATGTAGCGGCGGTGGGCGCGAGGACAAAGTCCGCGCCGCGTTTGTCTTGTACGACTACAACCAAGATGGCGTGATTTCGCTCGACAAAATGGTTCGGTATGTACATACATCTTTTGGAGCTTGAACGTCACGAGCTGGGACTTCTTCTATGCGTGGATCTTCCTGTACTTCTTTGCCGCGATAGGGTACGACGCAGCGACCCATATCTTCGACATCTCATATCGTTGTGTCGGTCGCGCAGCGTCATCTACTTTGCGTGGCAGCGGCTCAAAGGTGGCCTTTCCGAGACCCTCCGCGTCCGGCTGCGCGTCCTCACTCGGTCACGGTGTATGTCGTCGCCATCATCATTTACTGGGCCATCACGTTCGGCGTGTACGTGCCGTATCTGGCGCTCGGGCTCGTCAACAACCCGATGGACTACCACCGACGCGGTACGGCCCTTGCGCGATCTGTAGACTTGAGTAAGACAATCGATAAAATTGCAATAATCCACGTATGTGTCTCTCACTAGCTGAGCTCAAGTCGTCAATAAATTTCATTTCGACGGGTCTACCTTGGCCTCCAAGGGTGGGGCGTTGCTTATTGCGCTTGGTTGACATGTAGCGGTCTTTTTTACTGAGCCACGTCAGCCATGTTGAACGAGGTATGCCTTCTAAAGCGCAAATAGAACTCACAGAAAGCGTCGAGTTCTCATAAGCACTCATCAACTTTAGGCGAGTTTCGATGCTATATCGCCGCTGGACGCGCTGCGGGAGGACCGGTGTTGGCATCAAAGTTCAAAATGCGAGGGATTTTCGAATCGACCAATCACATAGAATTAAAATTCAATGGGTATTTATCCAATCACTGCGTGAAGTGTAATTGTGACTATATTTCGCCGAATTGGCATTGCTCATCGGATGCTCAATTTTATTCAGTACCACTCTGTCGAGTTTTTATCAAGTTGACTGTA